TATATATATATATATATATAAATTATGTATATGTAGGCATACATAGGCCTATATATGAATATACCACGATGTTAACGTTCAAAAATAAAACAAATTTGATGTTGGTATTCACATTATTTAGGTTGCTTTGTAAAACTGTTTCTTTCAAGGTAGGAAGTACCAGTACCACTTCGTTAACAATCAATTAAACATACACGAAATATAATGCGTTTGTCTTAAGATTAGTCAAGTAATATGATTGATCTTTGTTATGCAATCTGCAGTTATCCAGGCGTTATGAAATGTCTACATCGTATTTAACTATCCAAATCACTATTATTATTACTCTCCTGAACGGAAGAAAACGCTGCTTTTGTTGTTATGCCTGTTAGAAAAATGGATTTTTTTTGTTATAATGTTTACATACTCACATATTATATATTATACAGACGTTAAATGCAAATGTATGTACATGCTTAAATGATGACATCACACAATGACTATATATAGGCACATCATGACCATATATAGGCATCATTGGTTTTTCTCAACATTTGATAAGCTTGACAAGGCTTAAGATTAGGTTATAAGAACATTTAGACCAAACATTATATCATAAATCGACCAAATATAAATCTATCATAAATATCATATCATAAATCTTGTTCTTGCGAAACTGCTTTCTTTTCATGAATATTTATATTTTCTGTTTAGATTCTCTGTTTAGATTCCTTTTAATTTAACCAATATCTTAACACATACTACAGGTCTACCTTATTTTCATATTGTAAAAATTTCATGTACTTCTGATAATAATGATAATATTTATAACCCTATTAATAATAGTAATAATTTAAATAATACAGTAATACATATAACAATGAATGTTTTATAATGTTATTAATAATAATAATAGCTTATTAATAAATATAATAATATAATAATATAGGCCCTATTAATCAACATGATAATAATCGTATTAAATAATAATAAAGATAATAATAATCATAATAATTGATAATATTGGTTAAATGTAAATTATTAGTGTTCCATATATGGTCGAACAAAATGTTAAACGTTCTATCTTCATTTTGCATAGTTACTGTACCACACATTTTCATATAGACCACTTAATCATACGCCTGATCATGTTGGCCTAACAAATATCCATTAATAATAAATGTTAAAGGTTTGAAATAGCAGTTTATGTGCAAACATAGTAAGTCTATAGGAGGGCACAATTGTATTGTATGAGTGTGTATGTTGCCATGTTTGCTAATAAGAACATAGGCCTAGGCCTATCATGTGATAGGAATCGACTTTTTGCGGCGGTGACTCCTCCTCGACAAGTTATTAGTTTATGTCCAAGTCGCCTTGAGTGTTGAATGTGATATTTTCTCTATTCTCTGACTGTGACCGATATGCAACAGGCAAAAACACAATAAACCGAGCTTGTCGCGGCTCGGATTTCATTGCGCGTTTACTTAAGGAATCGCGTAAGGTACGATTAATTAGCCACTTTCCTGTCAAATATATTGGAGCTGAGTGGCAGGAAATGAGAAATTCTGACTCCTTAGAATTCCAATTCTGCGTGAAGGGTATGACTGGCAGGGTATGTGTGGCTACGATCAGACGAACAAATAACGCGCCAAACTATATTTATACTAGACGACTCATCGATAGTGATTTAGTATTCATAATCACAGTGACCAGTCACAAGGTTGATAGACCAAGCTTGATATTAACAAACCAGAGACAAGAGAAGTCACGAGCGAGGTTGGCGTGGTAGGCCTAACATTATTAAAGAAAGAAAAAGTAGATGCGCGCGAGGTTAACCGACCTGTGTTTAGCAAGGTTGACTGACATGGCTACTTTGTGTTGAAATTAATTGTTGACGATATTAAATGTTCTAATAACTATAACAATGACACAAACAATGATGATGTTTGCGTTCTCTTTAATTTAAAACTTGTGCCCGATGATGTCCTTTAACGCCACGCGTATAATTTGCATAAATTAGAAACAAATTGTTACCTACTTTCTGAACCTAATCATTATCATTTTGCTACTTTCTTTGACTAATAAAACACATTTTTGACGCTGTAGCTCTTGCAAATGTGTATGGAGGTCTGTATATTAATATCATTTACAAATTATAAACAATAATACTGTACTATATAATATAATACAAAGAGGCCTAATAATAATATACGGTAAATAATGATAATATGAAGGAAAAAATCGAATGAAATAATAATAATAATAATTCCGATTCTCAGGTATCTTACATTATAACTTTTGATCCGTGTGTGATTAGAATTGAGGGCGCTATTTAGAAACGCTTGTATAAACTGTTGCTTTTTATAATTTTCGACGATAATCCGATAAAAATATAACAGTTATTATGATTAAATACAATACAAATATAGAACAAAGAACAAACGTATGTGAACACTTTATATATATATTTATAAAATAGCCTAGACCTAGGTTTGCTACCGGATGTACATATATAGGCCTACATAATATATACATACACCGGATAAGAGTTAATTAATCGCTAAAAATCCTACTACTAGTGATTGTTTATGAAAATAACCAGATAAGCAAAAGTTAAAAAGATTGACGTTAACAGCCAGAAATATAACGCAGTCATCAGTGGCAATGGATATACACAATATATACATTTTATATATTATATATATTATATAAATATTACATAGGCCCTATTATAATAATTATTATATTATAGGCCTATCTGCATATAATGATTAAAAAAAAACAACAACAAAAGCAATAATAACAAAGGCAACAATAATATGTCGGTAAAAAAAAAAATAAATTATGAATTCAGAATCTTGATGCTCACGTATGATTTGTTGAGTTTACCCGTCAGCAGAGATTTTCCCATAATTTTAGACTGCTCGAGTAAACAAAAAACATTCACACGCAACTGTTTATGAATATTATGATTGTTTAATGATTAATATAGCAAATATCACGCTTCCGAAAGCCGCCTTCTGGCTTTATGAATCCTGAAAGGCAGAAATATTTTATTTCAATACCATTGTTTACGGATTTTATGATAGTTACTGAACTAATCAAACGTGATGCACTCGCTTTCGTGTGCCGCCTACTAGGCATGAACCCACTGATTTCACTCGCAAGCGGAGAGAAATTTCATTTCAAATTAAATGTTCATTAACATCGTAATAAGACCTGAATAAGTCGATTTGATGTTAACGCAATAGCTCATCATCGCAAACTGTGTTTAATCAACGTCACGTAACATATGAATATTCATCAGGCATACTAACCCCTAAATATTAACATTCTTCAAAAACATCAATTATATACAGTTGTTTCTTTTAAGGATCACAGAAGTTATCAATATTAATTATAAAGAATTACTTAAAGAAAT